AAGTTGTTTTCGAATTATGAAATTATATATTTCACAAATTATCTAACTGAAACAATCAGAAAAAAAAATGAAGACACCATTCATGTAGTAAGAATTATTTAATTCAGAATAACAACTATTGTAATTTTAGTCAGGCGATATTTTAAATTTATACCAAAATTAATGTGCATTATAACAAAAGACAATAAATTAGTCAGAAACATTCACATTGTGTTAGTTGATTTATCAACTTAACAAATATAATTTCAGCATCAGAAATTAATGGCGAATATGATTATTTGTTAACATTGTAATTCATAAATGTGTGTGTGTGTGTGTCAGTGTGTGCATTTCATTCACATATCGAAAATGGTAAAACTGTCATCACAACTACCCAAGTCTACATGATGTTGGCTTGTTACAATTTTCCTAATTGCAAGTAATGCAACATTAATTTTCATGAATCTTATGTTTTAATATTATTTTAATTGTTCTACTAACTATACATAAAAGTAGAACAAAGAGGTGTAAATGACCCATGTTTAAAGAAGTAAAAAATACTCATGTTTTTTTTTTCAAAATATAACAAAGTAATTTTTGGAATTAATTTATCGCAGCTCTGAACACAAATTTGAAATATGATGCGAAAAAAGGAGGAGAACGAACACGAATTTTACAAACAAAGAAAAAACCCAGTGTATTGTGTAATCCCTACCGACACGTCTAAAACTTATATTCAAGCCTTTGTTAATCTTAAGAAAATATACTTACAACTAATATTTCCTACTAATTTACAACGTTATTAACCAAAATAATTCATATAACTAAGATTAATAAAGTATTCTTGTAAGAATAGAAGTGGACTCTTACATTTAAACAAATAAAAGAGTTCGAATGCATAGAATTGCTAAGTAAATTTCTAATCACTCTATAGTTCTTATGTTAAGTAGTTAATGGAGCTGACTTTCACTCAACGAGTCAATTTTATTATAACTATGTATTCAATCGCTTTCATGATTGATAATATTATTGTGAAAACTTGAAACCATACTTTACTTGTGTTGGATTACCCATGTAGCTATACAAACATCAGTTACAATTATAATCCGAAGAGATAATAGTTTTAATTGACTAACTATTTCACATCGTATTACCTTTTTAATTCCATCAGTTTAAGAATATTAATCGCATTATTAGTTAAAATGTAGCTGATAAGTCAACCTGAAATGGAATGATGAGTTCATTGTATTTTCAAAACTTCTTTCTTTCTTGCTATTCAAAATAAACGAAATAATTTCATAATTTATTTACTGAATAGTGCATATTCTGTAATATGACACGTTCAATGATTGTGGGCCTTATAATACAGTGTTGTTCTCCGGATAAATTACCTTTTATATTTGGTGGTATTTAAAGTATGATTTTGGCAATTCATTAAAATTTAATTGTGATTAGTGAGAAATAGAAAATGTTGACATAAAATTATGGCAGTAACCAAACAATTGTACTGTTTATTCGATATAGAAATATTCAAAATATTTTGATGACCAGGAAAAAGAGAAAGGGTGAGACGAGAGTAAGCGACGTTGCCTGATGCCGGTCTTCACCTCGAACGATTCTGTCAGCTGAGCTCCGTGCACGGTTTTGCTATTTAATCCATCATAAGAATTCCGTTTGTTGTTAACTATCTTTTCAGGCACCTCATATGTCGAAGAAGCCTCCATAGTTGTGTCTTATCCTCACTATCAAACGCTTTTTCGTAGTCAATGAAGTTGTTGTTGAGTGGTGAGTTCCATTCAATTAATTGTTCCACAACGATCCGTAATGTTGCAATTCGGTCAGTACATGATGTATTCTTACGGAATCCAGCCTGTTGATCTCAAATTTGGATGTTTACTGAGTCCTTCATTCTGTTTAACAATACTCTGTATTTCACACACTTACTGAGATTGCCTTTCTTTGGAATCTTGATCAGGTATCCTTCTCTGTGTTGATGTTTCTTGTGACCTAGAACCTCCTGACATGTTGAAATGATTGCTCCTTCATCACTTTCCAATTGTTCTCCATGGCTGTGTACTGGATCCACTTTTATGAAGAGAAAGCGGTTGGTTTCTCTGTGACGGGCCCGTAATCAATCTTGACTCGACCACCCACTAAAGTTGTTTCCTCTCCATTGAGTAGATTGTCAAAGCCTGAACTTATTGCTTAGGGCTATCTTGAATTCGTGAAGCTTTCCAGGGTACCGAAGATCTGAGGTATTTCAGCTCCTCTCTTGGTTCTCACGTCCTCCATTATCCTTCTGAACCTTTTATTGATACAGATATAGTCGATTTGGTTCCAAGTAGTGTGATCCGGTGAAATCCATGTGGTTTTGTGTATGAGTTTGTGTGGGAATGTTGTGCCACTGATGACCAGTTTGTTGAAGACACATAGGTTTGCAAATCTTTCTCCATTTTTGTTCTTTTTTCCCAGTCCATGTCGTCCCATGATGTATTGATATCCAGGGTTGAAAATGCCAACCTTGGCATTTAGGTCTCGCATCAGAACGGTCAAATCCTTTGATGAGCTTTTATCGACGACTGATTCCAGCTTCTCGTAGAATTGATCTTTAACATTTTCGTTGTAATCATTGATAGACGCATAGCATTGGATGACGTTCATTGTAATGCCTTCTTTGTTTGTTTAGAAGGATGTTTTAATGATCCCACGTCCATGAGATTCCTGTCTTGTCAGTGCCTTTTGTGCTTGTTTGTACAGCATCAGTGCAGCCCCCTGTGTATGTGTTGTATTTTCTGCTTCATGGTCGGAGAATAGCAGCAGTTCTTCTGAAGCTAGTCTCAGTTGTCCAACCTGCTAGCAATGTGTTTCACCGATTCCAAGCACCTCCAAGTTGTATCATTCCATTTCTTCTGCTACGTGGAATAGTCTTACGGTCTCTCACATTGTACCAACATTTAACGTGCGTAAAATAGTGGTTAGTCTGGTTGTGAGGAGGGGCATCGGCCTCATGAATTCCGAAGGAACTCGTCTTTCATCATGAGCTGTCATAGCTCTTCTGAAAGAAGACCTTCTAACTCCCGGGCAGAGTTAAAATGGTTTAAGTTTTTTTCTGGTTAGTGTTATGTAGCGAGTTAGATTTCTACGGGTTGGGGTAGCCAATCACATGCCTAACCCTCCTTCTTTATCCGGGCTTGGGACCGGCAGTATTACCAGATGGGCTACAGGCGGATTTAAACATTTCCATGTCAGCAATGGAATCATTGATGGATTTGTAATATCTAGAGGAGTAGAAAAATAAATATCTGACATTTCTCAACTTGATTTAGGCTACTTCTTCGGAGAATGAATGAACGGATGAATTAAATTAACGCAAATTTTTTGGATGGTAACGCCTTCTATACCACTGAAGGTAATATTTGAAATGCTACAGCAGCTCACCTTATTTATTTAGTTGTTTTGATATTTTTAATATTGATCTGACTGTCATTGAAAGTAGTATACACAGAGATCATGGATTTAATTTTGAGCTTTTGAAGTTATTTTTATTAGGAGCTCTTTCTGCGTGGTTCAGGCCATTCATCTAAGCTAAAATATTTAATTGTATTGATATCTCTCGAAATTAACAGATACATAAACGGAACTCTACTTTTCCATGCAACAAATTTCACAGTTTTCATACCCTCTGACATGAAAAGGAATACCCGAACATGCCTGACAATAACCACTTTTATCAGATCAACATGACGCCAATTTGATCGGAATTTCTTTTTTATTGATTCTGGTTGTGTTAAATATTTCCGCCTTGTTACGAAGCAAGCTTGAATCCTTAAATGGGTCGTTTGAAAACCACTGCTAATTATTTGATACTTATTGTATGTAATGTAGACTAAATAATGACATCCAGGGTCCCTTTTTCGTTCAGTCTGTGACTCAACACTAGGATATGATTCCATCTTAATGTTGATTTTTACACCAGGACTCGAACCAAATGGCTTTCGCTTCAAATACCCACTGAACTACAGGATCTAGATAGCGACAACTTTACTGGACAAGTATGAAAAGGTGTAAGTAATGGTTTGAGTTTCAGTGAGTAGACCAACTATGAGATGCAGGTACATCTAATTTACGAATCCAAACAAGGACGAAATCTAAATCCTAATCATATATTAAATGTATTAAAAACTGTACCATGACTTTATATTGAGGTAACCCCCTCAAGATGCATGTATTGCTACAGGAACTGACTGATTACAGTCCTGAATATCAAATATGCGAAATTACAAACGTATACTCATATCTGGAACTTTATTCAGATAGTAATTTTAAAAATGTGTCATAACTACATAAGAATGAAGATTTCCAGAATAATGAACCTAAAATAGATATATTTATATTTTATAATCATTATTACATGTTAAGATGTTGACGATTTATGAAGAAATTCGAATATAAACCTTTCCTTTCATTATCGGAACTCAGATAATTTAAACTTATGTAATGGTAAATAGTAATATGCAGTGTATAACACTCTTTTGATACGAAAATGGCTCAGATTTGAATAACTAGCGTTTTATGTACCCTTTGGTTGAAAATTTGACTTTACATAGGTATCACGTCTATGAATTAATATATAAGCCCATCAATAGCTAGAAAATTACTTACTATCCATTAGCAAAACGACTTTTCGTAACTTCTCGTAACTAATCAAGAATACAAAACCTATGAGCATAAAGAATACACTATTCCCATCGATATCTTACAATCAATTAATAGAATTAACTTATGAATTTATTTAAGATTGAATTGAAAATAAAAATGCTCAATGACAACAAACAGACAACAAATGGACTATCAATTTTGTTCAGTTGATTTTTATGGGGAAAAAAAAGTACTCAACAAAATAACAACATTGTTATTATTGTATAGTAGTAGAGAAGAAGAAAATGAGAGAGTGGAAAAAACAAAGTTTATATGACTTTTGTTTATACATAATCTTTCAATGTCTAAAAGGAAATAAATAATGTAGTGATTTTTTTAGCATGATTTCATGTATGCGCTAATTATATAGTGGTTAAAATGTCATTTATTTTTGTATAGAATGTAACAGAACAAACAATACAATTATGATCATATTTACTAATGTATACGACATTATGTGCGTATATAAGTATAAAGTATGGAAGCAAAATTATTTTAACCATGGTGATAATGTTTGAGGTGCGAATAAATCCTTTTCACTTTCAATCGGTAGCTTTTCACTTGGTTTGGATGATTGTGTATATGGTTGAAAGTGCAATGAGTTCGTTGAGTATTCTTCATTCAAAGGTGATCTAACTGGGTACAGGTCTTTGATTCTCCTGTTAACCTTTTTTAAGTATTTACTTTCTGTTTGTCTATTCAATGTACCTTGACTACGACGTACTAAAAGACGACGTGTTGCATGTTTCTTGCGTGAATTTTGATAAGATGACATAGAAGATGGGATTTTACGGTTTGTTCGATCAATATTCGAGCTATTTAACGACGAAAACGAAGGTGAATATACATAACTATTTGGATGATTTGCATGTTTTTGTATGGTCATCGTATTAGATCGCTTAGTTGGTGGTGATTTGGTGTGATACAGTGTATTTAACTGCTTATTATTTGGATTAGTTGATGTCATTCTGTCTGAAATCGGTAGTTTGCATAATTGGGAAGGCGGACGTCTCATTGCTTTAAGAGCACGTTTAAGCCCAAGGTTGGAACGATTGATACGGGATAAATACTCAACCTTAAATTAAGAATAAATAAAAATAAACATTTTAAGCATAGAATAACCGATGTATATTTTTTATTGGTAACAGTTCTTCTCCCATCAGATGGCAACTTGGTATTAGGCATAGAATAGCCTCCAGCATTCGATACAACTCTTGGTGTTTTATCCGATATGCATCAATCTTCTAACCATGAACTATCCCATGAATATGATCGTCAAAATAAATCCGCTCTTACTTCACTATCCATATTTATTATGAAAAATTTTTAATGAGATTCAGTTTAACTGTTGAGTAATCACCCTAACTTTTGAAAGAATATTTACCAGTAGTATAGAAAAATTTATGTCCTTAAAATACTTGATTTGTAAAGCGAGTAACTGAAATGCATAGTCCATTTATTACGCTCAATGTAAGTGATACGGGAGTAAAACTATTTCAGTATCTATATGATCAAAATATTGTGATCGTTTCTTCGATTTTCGAAACATGATTTAACATGGTTTCTGAATGAAATTTAACGTATTTGATTGTATTTTGAATTAATCAGAATAATAGAAAAGAACAAGACATGTGAAAATCTCTTTACCTAGTTGACTGAAATGCAGAAAGTACACTATATGTTATTAATTTTGCAACTGTTTTCTTTTTAATACAGTTAAGATTTGATTATTACACAGTGGATATATTTAAATCAGTACATTTGATGTGCTCAGTTTAGCTTAGCATCTTAAATAGCATGTAGTTTAAACCTCTGAAATATGGAAAAATCATCTTATTTTAAACTTTTATCTTATAAAAATAATTTTGGAACAAAAAGTTAACATCTCTACATTTTCCATGATTTCTTTTAATTCAATAGTATCTCGCTAAATACATAAAGCAATCATTATCTATAGTAATTAAATATATTGTCTACATTATTCACAGTACTTAAATGTGTCATATGAATACAATGGAAAATGGAAACTTCCTATTGCCTTGATGTTCTGATCACTACTGAAGTTGAATATGTTTAAGGATAAAGCTTACTAGTATATTTATGCTTATTTATTTTCCGTCCAGGTATGAAGTATTGTGAATCCACAAAGAAGTAAGAACTCAATTCGATATAGGCAATATATTATTGTAATTACTTGTTCAACCTTCCGGTATTAAATTACTAATTAAAATTAATTAGTAAAATATAGGCATTGTAAAGTATGGGTGCTCAATGAAAGATAATCAACATATTTCAAAAGTTTTAAGTTACGAAACACATATTTTCTGATTTTATTTTGATCGCAGATACCGAATGAAAAATAACTAGAAATTATAATCAGATTCAATTTTTAGAGAATAGGAGATAAGGTAAATAAGACGGCTTTCGAGATCAAAACATTATCGTCGAGGTATTTTCGATCCATTATTATGAAAGCAGGACGATGGATACTAACGGTGATGAGGTGAATATTTCATACTAGTTGAGCTATATCATTTTCCGATCATACTTAACAAGATTGTGGTGGTGGTGGTGGTGTTTGGTCCTCTGAGCTATACTATTGTGTTTCATGTTAACTGTTCTTCAGTTATTTAACCTGAATATATAAATGAGCAATAAACTAAATTAAAAGACAAACAAGAACAAGATTATTTTGGAAATATGATAAATTCATTGTCTTTCAATAGTGTTTCGTCAGCTATACGTAAACTAACAAATTTTTATTTACTTCGAAATAACTGCTGCTGTAACAATTTCTTCGAAGATATGCTACAAACTTTTGGCTTGATGAACGTTTAATTAATTACGCTGCCCTGTTTATAAGTATTTTTCCTGTCTTAAAGACACTTTTGATATTTATTTTATTTATCATCATAAGACTCCTTTGGACGTTTCTGTGACCACTAGAATTGTAATCTAGCTATGTAATAATAAATCGACATGTCCTCACTTAGCTTCACTACAATTGATGATACGAGTAAAGGGATTTGGTGCATTGTCAGCGCTAGTCTCAAAATAAATTTTCTATTGACGTGAAGAGACGTATATCCAGAGAATGTATGGACACTGTCGTGATACCCAACCACAAATGTTTAGTGGTCAAGTTCTATAGACTAGTCTTGTGTTGATCAACAAAGGCTGTAAGTAAAAGTTTGAAAGTTTGATTAGTCCGTTCAAAGATCTCGCTGTATTTACAGTGGTAAGTAGTTATTCATATTTTGTATATTCCTAACACTTGAAATAATAATTTGAATAGCACGATTCTAAAGTTGGAATTTCTAGCAGAATGTAAATGGTACGGAAAAAATGGTATTGTACTTGTTTCGTTTAAATTTGTGAAAAAGATGAATTGTAGTAAATTTATTGATTTTAACTTAAACTATTTATTATCACCCTTATTCTCTTTATATGCTACATCGATTTCCTGATTTTACTTTCTAAACTGTTCATCATGTGAGTTGATAGTCACGACAAAGCATATTACAATTGTTATGTTAAAGATAAGTTCTGAAAAGACTGAACAATTTATCGATGAATTGAATCTACAGAAATTTTATGTTTTGTCCATAAAACAATAGATATTATAAGGAGGGAAAGAACTGAGAAACGGATGTTAATTACAGTCGATTATTAAAGTGATAATTAGCTTACAGTTTACAACGAAGTACAAATAGTGATAATTTTGCTATCATATGTCAACTACTTGTAAGTAATATAATCGCATCCACTCTTTGTGTTCGCTCAAATTCAAACCTTCTGAATTCCTCATCTCTATCTTTCGCTTTCTAAATTTATCTCACTGAATTATACTTCTTGGATTATATCTTCAAAACCTAGTCTTTTTCATTCCCAGTAATACTTCTACTATCGTTACTACTATTGGATTGGAACTGACAGTCGCATCTCTGTGCTAATATGGTATGGCAACCTGAACTGATGTACGTACGTATGAAGTTTTGTGTTGTAAGTAACTGACTGACTGAAGTAATATAATCCTTCTAATGTAATCTAATTAAATATTTAAGTAATTCTCAAGTAATTTCTTTGAGTTGGTAAAGAGAAATTTACTGATCATAAGATATTCAACTGTCAGAATTAAAATCAATACATCTACTTTCATGGGTAAACATTTCAGTTCTTAAGACAAATGCACTAAAAATTATTTCCACATTTTAAAGGTTTTCTTAACAAACTACTTGTAAAGTCATCAATCATGCACTAAAACTTGGAGTGATCTTCATACTAATGAAGATATGATACAACTTTCCAGCACTATTTCATCGCATGTTCAAAATAATACAGTTTACATCATGCTAACTCTCTTCACTAATGTTTCTGACACTTTAAACTCGATAAGTTTGGACTTTTACAACCATTCATTCAAACTGACAATCTAAAGTATTCGTTGACAGAAAGCATGTATCAGAAAAAAAGTGACTGACTTACACATATTACAAGTTTATTATGAGATATAATCACTTACAATGGTTTTTTAATGATTTCAATAAAATAAAATCTTATATTCTCCTCACAAAAGCAATTCACTTACATGTAGCACTGCTCGATTTGATGATATTTTACCCATAATCAACCATTTGGTTGGTTTGTTATGCATCGAATCCGCTAATTCATTCAAAAGATTACATTCACAGTCTACAGTGATTTTTAAACGACCAAAATTAATATATTCTTTTGGAAGTTTAAGTGTTCTAGCTTGTCTATCTAAATACAATAGAATAGATCTATTATTGCTTGTAGTTTCTTTATTAATATACACAATTTGTGCACGTATCACTAGAAAAGAGAAGGGAAATGAATGTTAAAGTCAAATGTTTATTTTATAAGATTACTGAATAAGCTTGTGTAATTTTTATCGGTAAAACTGACTACGTACTACTGGTGAAGTATTGACGACAACTGACTTTATCAGCGTAGATTATACGTTCATGATCATTATTTATCTTTAAGGTCACCAATCTAAAGTAAAATAGTAATCCAGCTGAGAATAATAAGATTTTGAAAGAAAACTCTTTACTTTTCACAGATGTTTCCAAAAACATTCAAACACTAAATTACAAAAGTATGCACTGCTACTTAATTTTCACTTTAAACAATCAGTGATTGTTTGGAAATTGAACTCAGCTGAATTAATTTACAGAAGATATTCTATATCTGACACTTTAAAACGGAATGTCTTACAAATGCATTTCGTCACGAAAATCATGTTATTTGATCAATTCTAACAGACTTTGTTCTTACTTGAGTGGAACAACTATTTTGATGATTGAAATTGTAGGAAAAAAGAAATCAAATAGGTAAGTGATGTGAATTCGGTGAATATTATTAACTAAGACGTTTTAGATGCATTCTCATATCTATTTAAGTTGCATACTTTTAAATTTCAGACTGTGAACTATTTTGCAATACAAAAGAGAAAATCTCATTTAAAAAAAAATAATAAACGATTACAATTTCACTTACCAACATCAGCCATACAAAAACTACTAATTGCACTTTCAAATGTTGGTTCTTCTACACAACCAGAACAACGAAGTCCTATGAACGAATTACATAAATTGTAAAATGATTTTAAAGTGAAACTTTATAGTACAACTAATAATAATGCGCTGTTTATAAATAACAGTAAATAATATACACCATTAATAAAGAAAACAATTCAGTTCAGTTGCCCATACGAGAATGTAATCACTGATAAGTTAAATGAGTATATAAGTTGACAAATACTGATAATAGAACAATACATGTAAGCGAACAATATTGTTTTCAGTTAGATCGTCATCCAGCTGTACTATAATATACATGAATATTGATATGAAAATTGTACACCATTCAATGCAGTTTATTTGAGTCTATAATCATAATCACATAGATTACGTAACTGTACATAATAGGTAAAAAAGTACAAGTTGATAGTAAGAATCAAGGTGTACTGATAGTAGTAAGAATAACAAAATACAATAACGAAAGGTTGTGTCAGTAGTTCAACACTGGAAATAGTAGGTCAAAAGTGGATAAATAAACTTAAAACAACATTGTGACCATTACATAATAAGAAGTGTGTAAATTATTAGATAATGACGAATATAAACAGAAATAGGCGAAAAAATCACAAGCGAATACAGGATGTGAAAATAATGCTGATGATAACAAAAAATGTAAAAATAAATTTTTTTAAAAATCCTTTATTAAGTCGTAGCCGGGCAAGCAAGGGATATGGGAGTCACGGATTACTCCTGAACCTATAAATTGGGGTTGAATGTTCAGATTCCTACGACTTGTACTGTATGTAAAAGACGAGATCGAACTCTCTTGGGAAATGATGCAGGTATACGACAGATCAGTCGAAATGATTCAGTTTTATCTATATGATGACGTCTATCAGTCAGGGGTACTGAGATAGAGCAGTGTATTGTTTTTATCTGGCCCCTTCTAAACCATACTGGGAGATGTTTACTCATTCGTCGGTTAAGTTACTTGATAGTACACCCAATATAGCTATCTCCAAAGAGGCAGCTGAATTTGGAAATGTACACTGAGGAGACCAATTCAGGTAGTTTATCGTTCGCCTGACTAGACGTTACTGGTCAACTCGAAAAATTCAACTCAAGATTTGCTGCATAACATGTTCTACTAATAACTTTCACTAATCTATCATGCAGGACATAGCTAGCCACATTCTCGTTGAATTGTAGTTTAATGAATAGAGGCTTTGTTCGAATGGCCAAAGTCTCCAACTTTGTTTACCGGTAAACATGTACTTTTTTAGGAACGCGGTGGGGTAGCCGATCTCGGTCAGTATGTTGTTCATAAATTCCAGCTTCTGACTTCAAGTATCTACCAAACAGATCATTTTCACTCTCTTTGTGAGACATCTAACCAAATTTCTTTTGTAGCGAATAGGTGTAAAACTATAAAAGTGAGTGAATTGGCAAGCAGAGGGATTTTTCTGTACACGCTTCTACTTAACGAACCGTCATTCCACCTACTTAGTGTGACATCAAGGTAATTCAGCTTTTTGTCATAATGGTCTTCACCTGTGGAAGTGATTGCCAAGTGTGCTTTGTTGAACTGTTTTATAAGTTTACTAATATTCTGATCTACGGTAATGAATGTGTCGTTGTGGTAGTGGCAATATAGATATAATTTATTAACAGCCTCCCTAATGAGTCCATTTTCTATCTTTGCTAGAAAGAAATCATCTGAAATTAGGCCTAGAGGTGATCGCATAGCTGTTCGGTCTATTTGTCTATAATAAGTATTGTTAAACACAAAACAGACGTTCAGCATACATCGTAAGAGCAATTCTTTCAAACTATCCTCAGGGAAGCCAATGTTGATTTGATTACTAACTTACATAAATTGCATTGAATGGCTTAAAATTTTCATATAAACATTCACGTATAATAAAGTAATGTCTGATGACGATCTAATTGCAACAAAATATAGTTCCCTTATATGCGTTGTTCAAATACTGATACACCAAAATGCTCAACGTAATCTTTTGTATAATCAAGTGGATTTATCACTCTTTAGGTGCTATATTTTAAATATTACTAAAACAAAGAATAGAAAATCGATTTTAGCTAACATTCACCAAATTTAGTAATTAGTAAAGGTTGTCCTCTCATCATTCGTCCTTCAAAATTATCTTCTTAAAACACGTAAGTTGGTAAATCTAGCACTATAAATAAAGTGAATGGTTTATGAACTGATTAGAAGTGTATTTGAAAAAATTAAGATTAGTTTATAACTCTAGGTTCATACTGAAAGTGCTGATATGAAGAGTAATTTGTTATCAAGGTCAATACAAGCAAACCATCTTTCATAAAAGTAGTATAACGAAATATTAAAGGAATATTTATTCAATGTTCTTCATAAGTTCTTGACATATTGAATGTTAATCAAATTCCGTTCATTCATGCTAGTAGGTATCCCTCTTTGAGATTTTCTAAAGACTTTGGTTGTATTTTTATGATTTTTAGTTTATTTTCAACTAGAAACTCAAACAATCTCTGACAAAACAAATAAGAGTATCAAAGCATTTTTGAAGAAAGGTAGTAGCATCGATAACTTGAACCAAGTCATTCTCTAGTACACAACCTACCTGATAAGTTTCTGTACATATATAAATCTTGTTTTTTACAAAATAATTTCTAATTATTCATCCACCACCTAATAAGCATTAATGCATAGGGCATAGGCCGCCCAGCATTCTTCAACTTGCTCTAACCAGGGCCTTCGTTTCCGACCCCACCCAACCGCTTTTTATACTTCAAATGTCTGCTTCCAATTCTCAGCGTAATATGTTCTTTGATCTTTCTTTTCTCCTTTGACCTTGAGGATTACGAGTAAGGGTTTCTTCGTTACGCACTCACGTGATCTCCGCGATTTGTATCCTACCAACCTCCAGCGCTTTTTCCTTATATCTCCCTCTACTGCAATCTGGTGTGTTCTTTCTTGTAGTAGGTTGTTGCTGATGGTGTCTGACCAACGGACCTTTAGTACCTTGCGTACATAACAGTTCTTAAATATCTGTATCTTTTGAGTTATGACTTTCGTAGTTCTCCGAGTTTCAGCTCCATACAATAGAACAGTTTTGACGATCGAATTGAAAATTCTGACTTCAGTGTTGGTTGATAGATGTTTTGAGTTCTAGATGTTCTTCAGAGATGCTGCCCAGATATTCTGAAGCTTCTATGTGTTGTGTTGTATCTGAGGCTCATACTTCTTCTCTTGTGTATGTTGAGACATACTGCTGCAGAAGCTGCTGTACACTGGTCTTCTCCTCCTGCGCTTATTATTGAGTACACGGCTGAAGAGCTATATCACCAGCGAAGTTCAAATCGTTCAGCTGCACTAGAGCTGTTGACTGTATCTCTTGCTTCCCCTCGGATGTTGACTCTCTTCATAATGCAGTCGATCACAAGGAGAAAGAGAAAGGGTGAGAGTAAGCAACCTTGCCTGAAACCGGTTTTCACCTCAAACGAGTCTGTCAGCTGTCCTCCGTGCAAGTTTTTGCGGTTTACACCAACATAACAATTCCGTATGATGTTAACTATCTTCTCAGGCACACCTTAGTGTCGAAGGAGACTCCATAGTGTTGTCCTATCCATGCTATGGAATGCTTCCTCGTAGTCAGTGAAGTTGATGTAGAGTGGTGAGTTCCGTTCAATTAATTGCTCCACAATGATCCGTAATGTTGCAATTTGGTCAGTGTACGGTCCATCCTTACGCAATCCAGCTTGTTGATCTCGAAGTTGGGCATCTTCGAAGTCCTTCATTTTGTTTAACAATACCCTCCCTGTTGAAGACTTTGCCTAGCGCTGAGAGAAAAGTGTTGCCTCTGTAGTTCTCACACTTGCTGAGATTGCCTTTCTTTGGTATTCTGTTCAGGTATCCTTCTTTCCAATCTGATGGTACTTGTTCCTCATCCCAAATCTTGTTGAAGAGAATGTGAAATATTTTTGCAGTTGCTTCTACATCTGCTTTCATTGCCTATGCTGGAATGTTGTCTGGTCCTGCTGATTTGCCGCATTTGATTTGTCTGATGGTCATGCTGATCACTTCAATTGTAGGTGCGCCAATATTAATTGGGAGGTCCGTGGATTCTGCTTTGATGTTGGATGGGTTCAGCGGGATTGGTCGACTCAGGAGTTCCTTAAGGTGCTCTACTCACCGATTTCGCTGTTCGTCAGTGTTGCTGATTATTTTCCCTTCCTTGCTTTCCACTGGTCGTTCTGGTTTACTTTATGTTCCAGCGAACTTCTTTACTGCATTTTACAACTGTCTCAAGTTTCCTTCTCCTGAAGCTTTTTCTTTTTTCCTTGGTAGATCTCTCATATATTTCCGGTTATCAACTTCAATGCTCCTCTTCACTTACTTATTTGCTCGGCTTGTGTGTTAGCTTGGCGTAAGTAAATGAATAGGACTATTATAGCCATTGGCGGCTCTTAAAACAACATTCAATACACCGTTAATACAGGATATCCACCTTAAAGAAATTAGGAGTTCTTTATTCACGAATCGCATCACTGTGATACATGTGAAAAGTGCACTTGCTCAACAATTTTTGAACCGGAAAACTTTACTTACTGACATTTTTCTGGTTAGCGTTGTTTTAGGGAGTTGGTGTTGCTAACCCCATGTTCAGCCCTCCTCCTTGGGACTGGCAGTAGCCTCGGAGGGTTTCCTCCAGGCGGAGAACGAAATATATATTAAGCATTTTATGATTTTCAGAGGTTCTCTACATAAAATTATTTTGTAATGGAAACTACCGTTATAAAAGTATGTTAATCTGTATAGTTGAGTAAGTAATGTATGGTTAAATTTTCCCAAGGTTACTCAAATATATATTCTTGGTCAGAGTTTAGTTTCATCTGCTTAGAGTAAAAGCTAAGTTAGAAATTTCCGAGGAGCCCCATAGCAATATTTTATTTTAAATTTTAAAATGAACCATCCAGCTGTACAAGAATATTGTTGTCATGTACATATTTTCTCTCTCTATACTTGAAAAATTGGGTTTAGTGATCAATAAG